GTCAAGACATTCAAAAATAAGTGCTGCAAAGCTGTCATACAGAGGCGTTCACTAACGCCTTTTGCGAACAAGAAAAAGAAAATCACGGCGACGATCAGGACGTTTCTCAAAATTTACCAATTTGAACTTTGCGTCACAATATCTCAGTTTATATTAGGTGTACAAAAAAGTTCTGAGCCTTTTTTTGTAAAATACAATCTTTCAAAAACAAATAAAAAAATATTAATCAGTGAAATATTCCCCGTTTGCATCAACGACCTTTTGCCATCTTTCGGGTAGCTTGCGAATTCTTTGACGATAGAAGCTCACCGGCTTCGAAGCGATAAAGTCATCAATGCATTTTCGTATCTCTTCAAATCTGTATCAAATCTGTATCAAATCTGTACAAAATGTGTATCAACCAAATGATGTTGCAGCAACCGGAATAGATAGTAATCAGAAGGCGCCATGTCTGGGCTATACTACTCTACGCACGCTACGCCGCGTGCGGGAGAAGTTCTCAGCCTAACGCAAAGATATCCTGAGTCGCTTTCGCAACATGTGGTCGAGCATTGTCATGAAGCAAGATCACTTTACGACGTCTTTGGCCAGTAAATGGCCTCTTTTCTTCTAATGCTCAAATTGGTCAATTGCTGTTGATAGCGGTCTGCCGTGATTGTTTCATCCGATTGTAACAACTCGTAATACAACACACCTTTTCAATCCCACCAGATACAGAGCAAAATCTTCTTGGCGTAGATGTTGAGCTTTGGCGTCGATGTCGAAGGTTGACCAGGGTCAACCCATGATTTTCTACGTTTAGGGTTATCATAAAGAATCCACTTTTCATCGCCTGTAATGATTTTGTGCAGAAAATCTTTTTTCCGAAACTTTGAAAGCAAAGTGAGTGCAGTGTCACGCCGACGATTTTTGTTGTCTTCGGACAATTCATGCGGAACCCATCTGCCTTCCTTCCGAACCTTTCCCATCATATGTAAACGTACGGAAATGATTTGCTGCATAACGCCAAGCTGTTCTGCAAGCTCCTTTTCAGTTTGCGCAGAGTTTATATCCAGCATTGCTTGCAATCCGTTTCAATCTTTTGAGTGCGTCCAGCACGCGGTTCATCTTCAAGACTGAAATCTCCTTGACGAAATTTTTGATACCATCTTTTACATGTAGTATGACTTACAGCGTTCTCTCCATATGCAGCACAAATCATTGCAGTGGCTTCAGCAGCATTTTTCTTCAGATAAAACGCGAAGTGGATGGAAAATCGAATATGCTCTTTTGTTATTGCCATCATGAACATTACTGATTTTTGAGGTTATGTGCATCAAACGTCAAATCGTATGGCATTTTAGAAGGCTAAATGTCAAGGCTTTAAAACCGCAAAAAGGGCGGAAGATATATAAATTTAAATTGTTATTTCGGTTGTATGAAATCTAAAGCTCAGTAACTTTTTGTACTACCTAACATATATATATATATATATATATATATATATATATATAAGAGAGAGAGAGAGAGAGAGAGAGAGAGAGAGAGAGAGAG